GATGTTAGCTGTGGGTTTTTCGTAAATGCTCTTTTTTTTTTTTTTGAGACAGAGTCTCGCTTTGTTGCCCAGGCTAGAGTGAGTGCCGTGGCGTCAGCCTAGCTCACAGCAACCTCAAACTCCTGGGCTCGAGTGATCCTTCTGCCTCAGCCTCCCGGGTAGCTGGGACTACAGGCATGCGCCACCATGCCCGGCTAATTTTTTATATATATATATCAGTTGGCCAATTAATTTCTTTCTATTTATAGTAGAGACGGGGTCTCGCTCTTGCTCAGGCTGGTTTTGAACTCCTGACCTTGAGCAATCCACCCGCCTCGGCCTCCCAAGAGCTAGGATTACAGGCGTGAGCCACAGCGCCCGGCCTCGTAAATGCTCTTTATCATGTTGAGGAAGTTCTCTGCTATTCCTAGTCTGGTGAGTATTTTTTTTTATGAAAGAGTGTTATATTTTGTTAAATGCTTTTATGTATCAAGTGAAATAATTATGTGCCCCCCCCATGTTGTGTTATGCAGATTGATTTTCTTATGTTTAAACTCCCTTGCATGTTATGAATAAATCCCATTTGGTCATGGTGTGTACTACTTTTACTATGCAGTTGGGTTCAGTTGCTAATATTTTATTTGAAGATTTTTGCATCCTTCATAAGGGATATTTGTCTGTAGTTTTCTTTTGGTATCTTTAGTATCAGGGCAATACTAGTCTAATAGAATAACTTGGGAAATGTTTCATATTCCTCTTGTACTTTTTGGAAGAGCTTGAGAAGTATTTGTGTTAATTTTCCTTTAAATGTTTGGCAGAACTCACCAGGAAAGCTGTCTGGTCTTAGACTTTCTTTGTTGGGAGATATCTTGAAGGAATGTTCCATGTGTCCTTAGAAGAATATATATGAAGCTGTCTTGAGTGGTGTATTCTAGGCAAGTTTTCTGCCTTTTTCTTCTTTGTGCTCAAATGTGCTGTTACCTTTAGATGGCTTATAGTATTGTTCCAATCCTCTATTTCCCTACTGATCTTCTGTCCAGATGTTCTATCCATTAGTGAAAGTGAGGTATTGAAGTCCCAACTACTACTGTAGAACAAACTAATTCCTCTCTTCAGTTTTGTCAGTGTTTGTCTTATGTGTCTGGGGTCTCTATGGTTTCATGTGACTATGTTTATAATTGTTAAATTTTTTTGGTGGATTAGCCCTTTTATCAATATATATGATGCTCTTCTTTATCTCTTGTATCAGTTTTTTATTTAGTCTATTTTCTGGTATTAGTTTAGCCACCTCACCCTTCTTTGGTTACTATTTGCATGGAATATCTTTTTCATCCTTTCATTTTCAAACTATTCATGTCTTTGGATCTAAAATGAGTCTTTTTTTTTTTTTTTTTTTTTTTTTTTACAGAGTCTCTCTCTGTTGCCCGGGCTAGAGTGCCGTGGCATCAGCCTAGCTCACAGCAAACCTCCAACTCTTGGGCTCAAGCAATCCTCTTGCCTTAGCCTCCCAAGTAGTTGGGACCATAGGCATGTGCCACCATGCCCAGCTAATTTTTTTCTATATATTTTTAGTTGGCCAATTAATTTCTTGCTATTGTTTTAGTAGAGGCAGGGTCTCACTCTTGCTCAGGCTGGTTTTGAACTCCTGACCTTGAGTGATCCTCCCACCTCGGCCTCCCAGAGTGCTAGGATTACACGCATGAGCTACTGCACCTGGCCTAAAGTGAGTCTCTTATAGATATTATACAGTTGTTCTCCTATTTTTTTAATCCATTCTGCCCATCTCTGACTTGACAGAGTTTAATCTATTCACATTTAAAGTAATTAGTGATAATGAATGACTTTTGCCATTTTCCTACTTGTGTTCTGTATGTTTTGTACCTTTGTTTCTTATCTCCTCCATTAGTGCTTTTTTATATTTAATTGATTTTTTTTGTACCACTTGATTTTCTTTTCATTTCCTTTTTTGTATAGTTTTTAAAATATTTTTTCAGTGATTACCTTGAGGATCACAATTAACATCATAAATTTCTCACAATCTAGTCTGAATTGATATCAAACTATCTTTAATAGCATATAAAATCTCTGCTCCTAAACACCTCTGCTCCCAAACACCTCTTCCCATTTTATGTTTCTGTTGTCTCATATTTTTGTCTTTATACATTGTGTTCCCATTAACATAGATTTATAACTATTGTTTTATGCATTTGTCTTTTAAATCATGTAGGAAACAAAAAGGAGTCTTAAATAAAAATATATATTAATATTGATTTGAATATTTAGCTATGTTGTGACCTTTGCCAGAAATTTTATTTATTCTTTTGGGTTCAGATTACTATCTAGTGTCCTTTCATTTCAGTCTAAGGACTCTCTTTAGCATTTCTTGTTAGTAAACTTCCCCAGCTTTTGTTTATCTGGGAATGTCCCTCAGAAATTCTCCCTTATAATTTTGTTGGATATAGAATTCTTGGTTGGCAATTGTGGGGGAGGGTTGTTTATTTGTTTGTTTGTTTTCCTTTTAGCACTTTAAATATGTCATCCCACTGCTTTCTAGCCTTGTCATGGTTTTTGCTGAGAAATTGGCTCATAATCTTATTGATCCCTTGGTCATGATGAGTTTTTTCTTGCTACTTTCAAGATTCTCTCTTTGTCTTTGTTTTTCAACAGTTTGAATATAATATGTCTCATTGTAGATCTATTTGTGTTTGTTGTTTTGGGAGTGTGCTGAGCTTTTTGGATGTATAGATTCATGTCTTTTGTCAAATTTGGAAAATTTGTGATCATTACTTTCTGAAATATCCTTTCTGTTCTTAAACTCTTCTTCTGGGACTCCCATTGTACATATATTGGTAATCTTGATGGTGTCCCACAGTTCTCTTTAGCTCTGTTTATTTTTCTACATTCTTTTTTTCCCCTCAGGCTGAATAATTACAATTGACCTTTCATCAAGTTTTCTGCCTTTTTTCTTCTTTGTGCTCAAATATGCTGTTGAAACCCCCTAGTGAGGCTTTAGTTATTGTGTTTTCAGCTCCTGAATTTCTGTTGGTTCCTTTTAATAACTTACACCTCTTTATTGATACTTCTGTATTTGAATTGAATGTCCTCTATACTCTAATATTAATTTGGCAGCCATTGTTGTTAGCATTTAGTCTTCCAGTTTTGTATAATAGATACTATAATTACTCCCATTTAACCATGAGTTGATTGCCAGTTTATAAGTAAATATTTCAGTACTGAGAAGCTGATTAGGAGCTCTGGTTATGAAGGTGGATCTTTTTAACTACTAGGCTTTTTCAGTGGGATTGCACAAGGATCAGTCATAATGAAGGACTACAAAAAGGTGCTACTATGTTAGAGAGAGCTTTTTTTATGGCCTGTTCTGCACTGATGGTACCTGCTTGTCACATTTCTCTCTCAAGGTGATCAATCAACTTATGGGATCTCATTATGTTGCCCCAGCTAGATTGATACTTCTGGAATCAAATGATCCTCCCACCTCTGCCTCCTAAGTAGCTCGGGTTACAGGCATGCACCCCCATGCCCAGCTGGCATTTTTTTTAAGTGCTTGCTCTAGAGATTGCATTTGTATCCTTAACTTTGCACAATTAATTTATGATTAATACTGCACCATTTCACATAAGATACTGGATTAATACTATACAATTTCATGTAAAATATAAGACCCTTGAACAAATAGTTTTGTTTATCCTCTCTAACATTTGTTCTTTATGCTATGAATTTCATATATGATACAGTTACATAAAAAGTCATAGCAAGTATGGTTAAATGGAAGTAAATATCTGTTCCACAAAGACTAAAAGAAAAATGTAATGTTTTATAGTTAAAATTTTTAGTTCTCTTCATTTTTTTCCTGAATATTTCCAGGTAACATATGCATTGCAACTCAATCCCAAAATATATCTTCCCTGCAGTGAGTACCATCAGAAATCTCTGGTCAGTTCATTTAGCAGTAGTTGGGCTAATTGGGATCTATTCCACATAATATATACTTCAGATGTCATCTAGAGATTTGGTCAGTAAATATGCAGAAGTTAATGCTCTCCTTCAGTGCCTCCTTTCTGAGATTTCCCCTTTCCTTTCTAGATCTCTATTGTTCAATAAAACCTTCTGTAGTATGGAAATGTTCTATAATGTGCACTGTCCAAATCCGTAGCTACTTGCCACATATGGTTATTGAGCACTTGAAATGTAGCTAGGGCAACTGAAAAAAGTAAATGTTTTTGTGTTAAGTAATCTCCAGTTATATATACGTGGTCACATTGGGCTAGTGGCTACTTTAGTGGACATACCATCATTGTAGAAAGTTCGGTTAAACAGTGCTGTTCTGGATGCTGTGGTCATCCCAAACTGTCCTCATTTCCATCTGGGGTTTAGCAGACTCTTCTTTTAGGTGAAAAGGTATAGAAAGAAGGAAGCTCAAGCAGTGCTTTCCCTTTATCCCATCCGATTTATGACTGATTTTGATTGCTTTCAAGAGCCTTTAGATAGTTTTATATATTGACTGAGTGTGTAAATACATCTGTATCTGATAAGAGCTACTCTACCCATTTACCAGAAACAGAACTCTGCTTCATAATCATGTTAACAGTGAACTCATTTTAAGGAATTCATTTTTGTGCTTTGTTGTCAAAATTCTCTTACCAGTCACAAATTAAATATTTTTGGCTCTGAAATATTTAGGTACTGCTAATGCTGATACTGCCAACCTGGTATTCCATTCCCTTAAGAAAAAAACTAGTTACATAATACTGTAATTGTTTAGATGAAAAAGTATTTGGAGGACTTATTTATTTTTCTGTGTCCTGTAATAGAATTTTCATTTTAAACTATCCTAGCCTCTTTTAACCTTACTAAAAAGTATCACTAACCTTTAAAGTTAATGAATCTTAATATTCTAAATTTGATATTCCTATCTTGGGTATGTTAGAATTTAGTGGAATTCTTCAAAGCAACAAACTCATATCATTGATAACTTGTTTGGTGTACCTTGCCTTTTCCAGGTACCTGAAAAGGTTTAAAGTAATGAAGATCAAAGTTCTAAGAAGCTGGTGCCGTCAGATCCTTAAAGGACTTCAGTTTCTTCATACTCGAACTCCACCTATTATTCACCGGGATCTTAAATGTGACAACATTTTTATCACTGGCCCTACCGGCTCAGTCAAGATTGGAGATCTTGGTCTGGCAACCCTGAAGCGGGCTTCTTTTGCCAAGAGCGTAATAGGTATGTTTCAAGTGTACCTTGGAACACTTGGCCTTCTGGCATTCTTTTTATTTAGAGACCTGGCCCTCTCAGAGCTTTTAGTAATGAGATTAAACTTTTTAAAATTCATAGCTTAAACCTAAGAGGTGATCAGTTTTACTTAAGAGATACAGAGTTCTCTATATTTATTCTTCTAGAATTATCTTAAAGACTTGGTGTTTTACAAAATTACATTGAAAGAAATAAGGTGAACTTTGTTGCCGAAATCCCATGTAACAATATTATTGAGTCATACCATTTACTATTTATTATTATGTACTATTTGTATATATTATATACTATTTATTTAATAGACACAGCATGTCACTTCATAAAGAAATAGAATTTGTATGTAGTTTAGTTTCTAAAATGTTCATTTGAGGCCAGGCACGGTGGCTGATGTCTATAATCCCTGCACTTTCAGAGGCTGAGGTGGGAGGATCACTTGAGCCCAGGAGTTCAAGACCAGCCTGGGCAATATTGCGAGATCCCATATTTTCTATTTCTACACAAAATAGAAAAAATTAGCTGGATATGGTGGTGCATGCCTATAGTCCTAGTGATGCAGGAGGCTGAGACAAGAGGATTGTTTGAGCCCAGGAGTTTGAGGTTGCAGTGAGCTATGGTCAACACCACTGTATCCAGCCTAGGCCACGGAGCAAGACCTAGTCTCTAAAATGTTTGTTGAGAGAGAGGTGTGTGTGTGTGTAATATTATATATATACCTGCCTGTGAAAACTTTATTTTAAAAAGTGAAAATAAATATGACAGTTCATTCTTAGAAGTTGGTTTTATCAACTTACTCCCACTCTTCAGAAGTTGTGAACTCTCTAGAACAGGGTTTCTCAACCTTAGTACTAGTTAGATTTTAGGCTGGACAATTCTTTGTTGCATTGTAAGATTCTTTAGCAGGACCCCTAGTCTCTACCCACTAGATTTGAGTAATATACCATCTGTCTACTTGCCACTACTTGTTAAAACCAAAAATATCTCCAGATAGTACTATGTATGTCCCCTGGAGGACAAAATTGCACCCTGTTGAGAATCACTGATCAAAAGGACAAGGCTGTCCCTTTCAGATTTTTAACTATACATAGTTGCAGGTGGAAAAATAATTTAATGCCTATTTTAATAAGCTTTCATTCTCTGAAGAGGGTATCACAATTTAAAAACTTAATCTTCACAAGCATTCTACTCCACTCCCCCCAAAAAGTGATAACAAAAGAAACTCATTAATTTTTATGTGGACTAGACTATTAAGTATTAATAGGAAAAGCATAGAATACCAGTTATTTGTACATCATTATAAAACAGTATTATCTGTCAAATATTATGTACCTAGGATTTGGAATGCTGTTTTTATATTTCCATATAATACATTAACAAGAAGAGTGGGACAAGAATTATTTAAAACTGAATTTCCTTTTTGTCTTCCTCACAAAAAGCATTTCGTTGTCTTTGGCATCTTAAAATCTCTGCTCAAGAGAGTTTTTATTCTTTGTTTGCTTGTTAAGCGATAGTGTACAAGCCTGTTCTTGGAAATGCCCTATAATTTGAGGTATACAGATCTAATTTTTTGGAAGCGTTGCAAAACCTAGTCTTGTGGGATCTGTGCTTATAAAACAGTCTTTATTTGAGTTCTATATTTGGTGTGTGTATGTATTTGGTTTTTGCCTGAGGTTTTCAAGCCCTCACTTTATTTCTTATATCTGCAGTAGGCTTATTTGTGTACTGCAGATGGGATGGTAAGTATGTGAAGAAAAGGGCTTTGGTGAGTAGCCTTTGTAGACAATTATATTTTATTATTTTAAAAAACTTGCTATCAGGTTTTTGACTGCAAGGCCTCCTTAGAAAGTGAAACTAACCAGATGGAGTGTTAATGGCAAGAGACTGTGTTAACCTTATAGCTACCATACAGTAGGGGGCAGGCAAGTGTTAATATTTTGATCTTGTTAAATCTATCATTTTATCTTACACATAGCTGTCATTATGTCTTTGTTTCTTGCTAGTCTCTTACCTTTCTAGTTAAATTAGTTTATCTCTTAGCCAAGCCTCTATTTTGATACACCATATAACAGGAATTCAGATTAAACAGTAAATAGACACTTGACCCTATTCCAGTATCTTATGAAGGCCTTGCAGTGGAAGATCTTCTATAAAATATTTGATGGAGCAGACTGACTGAGAAGATTTCCTTCCTCTTTATTCCCCCTTTCTTTTCTCTCCCCACCTTCCCATTCCAATTTCTTCTCTCTCACAGGTCAACTCCTCTGATTCTGCCTCTGGTGAGTAATGTCTAAAGCTTCTGCTCACGTTGAGACCGAATCATTCTTTTAATTTTAGGTACCCCAGAGTTCATGGCCCCTGAGATGTATGAGGAGAAATATGATGAATCTGTTGACGTTTATGCTTTTGGGATGTGCATGCTTGAGATGGCTACATCTGAATATCCATACTCGGAGTGCCAAAATGCTGCGCAGATCTACCGTCGAGTGACCAGTGTAAGTCTTCCCCTAACTGGTTGGTGACCTTGGGTCACATCTAACAACCAATCCCAAGCTGGATAACATGAAACCATGCAAAAGGGAACAAGAGTAGAAAGCATGCTGAGTGAAGTATTGGGGTGGAAGAAGATTGAGTTATCTGCACTGCTATTGCTCATGGTATAGTAAGAGAAGAGCTAAAGATCAAAGAGCCACTGTTCATCTCAGACCCTCCTTGTATTCATTTAAATCTTTATTATGAGATACATTATGTTTAAAAAACACTCTCATCACCTACTTTTCAACCCCCCATTAATTCATTTAAGTTCTCATTCTTTCCTACCACATTAGTTTCTGAGTTAAAAGTAATTCTTTTAACTCTAGATGCTTTGTCAGATTATTCAGAATTTTCTCTGAATGGCTTGAGTTGATTTATTAATGTATTAAATCATATATATATGAGTACCCATAATATTTAAGGCATAAATTAATATCTTATTATAGTTGAAATTATCCATGGTAGTTCATGTCTACTAACAGAGATATTGTCTACAGCTTTCCAGTTGAAACCTGAAAGCTAGTTGTTATGATTCATTATTTCATTTTACCACTATATACTTCATTATGCTACTCCAAAAAATGCAGATCTTATTTAACCATATTATACTTAATAAAATTAATAGTAATTTCTGGATCATCTAATACCCTGTACCTATTCAGATCTTCCTCCATTGTTTCAAAGATGTTCATTGATAGTCAGTGTTCATCAGGTCCCATCAAGGTCCCATCAGGGTCCCCAGAAGATATTTTGTTGTTGTATCTCTTAATCTAGAACTGTTGCTTCTACTCTTTTTCTATATGCCATAGCTTTATTAAAGAAATTACATTAATTATTTTGAGGAATGTTCCACATTCTTAATTTACCTATTCGCCTCCTTGTGTTGTCATTTAATTTATTATTTTTCCATAGTTTGGAAAGGGAAGTTTACCTTAAAGTAAATTGAGGTATGTCAACAATGTAAAAATAATTTTGCCTTTTTTACTCACATTCACATAAGAGTATATAATGTAGATTTCCAGAGGCTATGTGCTGTATGAACTGCATGTTACAGCAGAGTGAATGCAGAAGCACATATGAAAATCCATTCATCTTCTATTGAATGTAAAATCATACTAGTCTCTTCCCTGAGTTTTTCTTGTTTTGGAAAATATTGAATTTGTTTAAAATGTTATATATATCATTAACATAATGGATTTATTATAATTGTTAATGAATTAAATACTTCTAAACTTTCTTATTTTTTACTTCTAACATGGTAAATATCAATAGTTATAACACACTCAAACAAAATCTATCTGAGGTTCCCAACAATTATAAAAGTATAAAGGGTCCTGAGACAAAAGTTTGAGGACCACTATTCAAAATCTGGATAAAATTTAGGCTAAACTTTTTTTTTACAAGGATACTTAATGTGTGGTTTTTTAAATACTGTATTACTTACACCAAGAGGCACAGAGTACTTTGTTATCCCATTTTTAGTCATGTAATGTGTATTGAATTTTGACATTATTAATATTAATAGATTTTATTATAAATTGCTTGCTTAGATTTTGATAGCTGAGTATAATGGAAATAAACACTGATAGGAAACATTTTGCTTTAAGTAGACCAAATTAGTTTTACATCTTCACAGAGACTTGGAAGAAATCTTTGTAGTAAAGGATTAATTATGATCATTTGTTATAATTACTGAGTGTTCCTTTAATGTCTTTTATTAGTTTGTTTGTTTTTTCTTATTTATTAATTTATTTTTATTTCAGCATATTATGGGGGTACAAATGTTAAGGTTATGTATATTGCCCATGGCCCCCTCCCGCCTCAAGTCAGAGCTTCAAGTGTGACCATCCCCCAAACGTTGCGCATCTCATTCATTATGTCTGTATATACCCATCCCCTCCTCCCCGCTCCCACCTGCCAACACTCGATAAATGTTATTCCTGTATGTCCACTTAGGTGTTCATCCGTTAATACCAATTTGCTGGTGAGTACATGTGCTTGTTTTTCAATTCTTGAGATACTTCACTTAGTAGAATGGGTTCCAGCTCTATCCAGGAAAATAAAAGAGGTGCTATATCACCATTGTTTCTTAAAGCTGAATAGTACTCCATGGTATACATATACCACATTTTATTAATCCACTCATATACCACATTTTATTAATCCACTCATGATGGGCACTTGGGTTGTTTCCACAACTTTGCAATTGTGAATTGTGCCGCTATAAACATTCGAGTGCAGGTGTCTTTTTTGTAGCGTGTCATTTGATCTTTTGGGTAGATGCCCAGTAGTGGAATTGCTGAATCAGATGGTAGATCTACTTGTATCACTTTAAGGTATCTCTATATTGCTTTCCACAGAGGTTGCACTAGTTTGCAGTCCCACCAGCAGTGTAGGAGTGTTCCTATCTCTCCACATCCTCGCCAACATTTATTGTTTGGGGACTTTTGGATAAAGGCCATTCTTACTGGAGATAAGTGATATCTCATTGGAGTTTTGATTTTCATTTTCCTGATGATTAGAGATGTTGAGCATTTTATCATATGCTTGTTGGCCATTATTCTGTCTTCTTTTGAAAAATTTCTGTTCATGTCCTTTGCCCATTTTTTGATAGGGTTGTTTAATTTTTCCTTGCTGATTTTCCTGAGTTCTAAATAAATTCTAGTTATCAGCTCTTTATTGGATGTGTAGCTTGCAAAAATTTTCTCCCATTCTGTGGGTTGTCTGTTTGCTCTCTTGACAGTTTCTTTGGCTATGCAAATGCTTTTTAATTTGATCAGGTCCCATTTATTTATTTTTGTTGCTGCTGTGATTGCCCTTGGGGTCTTCTTCATAAATTCTTTGCATCGGCCAATGTCTAGAGGAGTATTTCCAACGTTTTCCTCTAGAATTCTAATAGTTTCACACCTAAGGTTCAAGTCTATTACCCAGCATGAGTTGATTTTTGTGAGAGGTGAAAGGTGTCAGATAATTCTAATAAGTAGCCTAATCATTATTCTATAGTAATTTACATTATGAATTGGTTTTTTTATTTCACTGAAACTGGTTGAAATTTCTTACTATCTCTTCCTGGTATAAGGAGCTTATGTGATATCAGTTTGCTTATATCAAAGCAAGTATAAATTCTTAATATTATCTTTTGCTATTGTTCTTCTTCATCCAAACATTTTATTCTTTCTTTTATTCCTACACATTTGTACATGCTATATACCGTACCTTCTCTACAAGATCATAATTTGAATTAATTTATCTCTATAAAGTGTTTCTCTATAACTTCACCCTTTTATCTGTGTTGCTGTTCCAAATTAAAAATGTCTCAGTACTAATAAATGTGATATTTTCTAAATCCCTGCTATATACCATACTCAGAGCTTTACACTAGGTAAAGGTGAATGACATATATATTCCCTGTCTTCAGAAAACTAGCTCTAATATAGAAGATAAATGTGTAAGCAAACAATTGTAATTACAATATGGTGAGTATTTTAATTAATAGAGACAAGCACTAGGAACAGTGGAGGAACAATGGTTAACTGTATTGTAGATTAGGGAAGGTTTCACAAGTATAAACTGTCAAAAAGGAAGAAGGGGAAATAAGAGTGTGAGCCCATTCTAAAAAGTGAGAATAAGATGCATGTGAATACTGACGTGCCAAACACCATAGTACAATTGAAGAAGGTGAATCTGTTATCTTGTGTTTGGAAGGGAGGGACAAATCAATCACTCCAAATCCTTTCTCATTACAGGGCAAAGATTTAGAAGTCAGTGATTAAGAGGGGAACTTGTAGCTACTGGTAAGGGTTTTTGCTGCTATTATATTATTTTCTTTTAAAGATGAAATTTTAAGGAAATTTTTTTGTTTATAGGCTTTTGGAAAGAGCAAGAGGGAATAGAGTTAGGTTGAAATTACAGGGATAGGGGAAGGTGGGCAGTGAGCAGGTGGATAATGGATAGAGTAATACCCAGGATTCGGTGGGATCATGAGTATGGTGTAATGAACAGTAAGCCTTAATAGGGAAGGCTTTTTCCTGAGATGAGGTAAGCACTGGTCCCCAACCTTTTTTGCACCAGGGGCTGCTCACTTCCTACTGTGCGACCCAGTTCCTAAATTTCCTGGAAAACGGTTTTTTCGTGGGTGGAGGGGTGGGCTGGGGGGAGGTGGTGCTCATGTGGTGATGCGCAGCCTGGTTCCTAACAGGCCATGGGCCAGGGGTGAGGGGGACCACAGAGGGAGATTATTATGATGGGTTTTGGAGGCAAAGTCTTGGGTTAACATCGCTGCTCTGCTTATTATTATATCATCTTGAGCAAATCACTTAATTTCTCTGTATTTTGTTGATTTTGTTCTCTGTAAAAGAGATACCCTTACCCCCTTACAGATTGTTTGGCACAATGCCTGGAACTGGTGCTGGTAGTAGACCCTGGTTATTTTCTGTGAAATATGAGTTAAGTCATCTTCTCAAGGGTGTAGAATGAAAGGTGGCCTTTAAGGGTGTAAAGGCTTGAAATAACATCTCTGGAATTTTGAACTGATTAGAAAATAATAATAATTGTAATGTAGTACCAAGCCTCCAGAATTTCTTTACAGCATTGATAAACACTATTGTGTAAACAATGCATCCATTGTTTGTGCTTCAGTCTATGTGTCTGTAAGTAGAAAACAGCAAATTTTTGTCTGACTTTATTTCTTGTGACAAACTATAATAGCTTAGATTGCTTTATTAGTTCTTAGTTGTCTATATTCCAAATTCTGTATACCAGGGTTTGAAGAATCTAGTATGGTAAGTTATTGGGGTAGGCTTCATAGGAGAAACATTAATTTTATTTAGTATCCTCTCCACTTGACAAATTTCATGTATTTATTCATGAATTATAAACTGACCAAGCACTATACAATACACTGAGGACATACCAAGGCTAATATTATGCCTCACATGGAGCTTATATTCATTTGTTTGGG